TCATATCAAAATGCGAGATTAGAACGAAAATGACGAAGCTAAATGAAACACAAACATCCCCGGACTGGCGATAGCGCAGTTATAAGTAGCTATTACAACCTGTGCTTCTTTTGCACTTTTCAGGGAGTACATTAGGTCAGAGAGAATAACCACTACTGTACTTATACAAGATGTACTGTAATCTGCATTCAGACTGTATAGTGTTCTTGCCCTTACTTTAATAAACAAGGCTTTTACTTAAGATATAGCTAGAACAAGGTGAATGAATACACTTTTGTTTTTATTATTAAACTTGACGAACGTAAGTTATGAATCAAAATAGTTTACAAAGTATCTGAATTTGGTTCATTGATGTTATCGACATTAAGATTCGTATGAAATATACACATACAGATTTCAAGGAACAAACATATTGGGAACCCCTGTGTAATAAATATACCCTAGTTAATACTTCTGAACACAACTTAATAGTCTGTAATACATATGTAGTAGTGACAAAAATATGGCAGTTATCAAGAGAATGGCCATTGTGACCATTCATTTTTATCGTTCATGTTGGCGGTGTGATTACTATGGTGACGTCATGAATCTGTAACAAGCGGCTTCTATAGGCAGTTTGAAGATGCTTTGGTTTGGCCGCGAAATCAGACCATGATATTTGGCCAAGAAGTTCCGTCAAAAAATGAGTGAACAGGAATTTCTTGAAATATCTTGCCGCCAAAAATGCTCTTCTAGGGTTTGTTTTTGTCTTTATTTCTAGTATGATTATTGATATTATCACCATTATTCTTATTCTTATTCACCTTATGATTATTATCAATACTGTTATTATTAGTACTGTTATCTTTATTGTTATTATCCTCATTACCATTATTGTTATCATTATCATCGTTTGCAATATCATTATCATCGGTTTTATTATCATTATCACCGTTTTCATTATCATTATCATATCCTTATCACCGTTTTCATTATCATTATCATCATAATATCATTATTACCATTAATGTCATAACTATTATCATCATCACAATCAGCATCATGTTGTTCCGACTGTAGTTGTTATAAATGATATATCGATAAGACTTTTAAGGAAATATTACGTGTCAGTAAGTGCCTTGTAAGCACGAAGAAATAGAACTTGTCAAACTGACACACACCATAAATCATACTTAAACACATGCTCATGTAAACAGTATATGTTCATATATATATACATATATATATATATATATATATATATATATATATATATATATATATATATATATACGAGCAGATATATATCACTAAAGAGCACACACCCACACAGACAGACGAATGTACATAAAAACACACACTAACACACATACACACACACAAACAAACAAGCAAACAAACAAACAAACACACACACAAAATAAATAAATAAATAAATAAAATAAAACACCTTCCTCACAATACGCGTTCTACTAATGGAGCGATTTACGAGTGTGAAAAGTTCCGATTTGTGGCCCCGATCGATGTAGAATAACGCTCGGCTGGCCACGCTAACTGATTCGTCTGTGCTCGAGTTACTTATACATTGAAAACTATTAGAGTTGGGCGGTTTAAGTACGTAAAAGTGCTGTTTTTGTGGTTATTGTTGTTATTGTCGTTCTTCTATTACTTATTTCTTGTTTTTTGTTCTTTTGGTCGTTTGTTTTTTCGTTTTTTTTTCTCTCTGCTTTCTTCTTTCGCATTATTTATTGGTATTTTTGTTGTTCTCATTGTGGATATTCTTTTCTCTTGTATTTTCTCTTGTTTATTTTGTTGTTTTCGTTGTTGTTGTGTTGTTGTTGTTGTGTTGTTGTTGTTGTTGTTGTTGTTGTTGTTGTTGTTGTTGTTCTTCTTCTTCTTCTTCTTCTTCTTCTTCTTCTTCTTCTTCTTCTTCTTCTTCTTCTTCTTCTTCTTCTTCTTCTTCTTCTTCTTCTTCTTCTTCTTCTTCCTCCTCCTCCTCCTCTACTTCATTATATTATCTTTATTGTGCTTTCTCAATTTCCTCTTTATCTTTTATCCATGCTGTTGTTTCTCAACCTTATCTTATTCCCACCGAAAAGGGAATAGGTAAAAATCTCAAGAAAAGATAAAGGCAAATCAAATATATAAAATAAAATACTATAATGAACAAAAACACACAAAAGATATGAATTTGTAAAGATACGCTCAAAGGTATACGTGACTTATATATATAAAATGAAATGTATAAAAATAACAAAAACACAAAACAGTGTGAATAGAATGTGATAAATTCAAAGGAATTATTCACTTCTTCTATTAAATAGACAAGAAATGAAAAGGAAAATAATAGTAAATGATAATCATAAAATTGAATATTAAAGTTATTGCTGTGTATATAATTCATATAATTTTTATTTATTGCTGCTTTTATCACTACAATTATTTTGATTGCTGAAGGAATGTCTACTGAATTTTGTGATAATAATGAAATGGACAATTGTTGTTAATAAAACCTATTCTAAGAGAAAATATATGCGATACGTAGATATTTAAATATTCATAGTAACTGCTTATATAATGTAGTCATCACGTGTAGTACAAGAAATTAATAAATAAAGAGAGAGAAAGTAAAACAAAGACAAAAAATGGGTATAAAGTAGAAGAAAGAAAGTAAATCATGTTTTCACCTTTTCATTTTTAAGTCGTGACATGCAATGAAATAGCCAATCGCGTTCATATATGTTTGATCAATATGTCAGTCAAACAGGTTGGGTTAAGTACGTGATAAGATATTGTGTATTAACTTCTGTGTGTGTGTGTGTGTGTGTGTGTGTGTGTGTGTGTGTGTGTGTGTGTGTGTGTGTGTGTGTGTGTGTGTGTGTGTGTGTGTGTGTGTGTGTGTATTATGTGTTTTCGTGCTGTAGTTCTTGAATATTTAGCATACATATAATTTCTTTCCTTAATTCATTTTCTGTTTTTTTTAATTTTTTCAATTTTGTGTTTTCTTCTTTGCATTATTATAATTTCTATTATTACTGTTAATGCTTTACCATTACCATCATCATTTATATCATTATTGTCATTATTATCATCATGATTGATGTAATAATCATTATCATCAACATCATTATCATTATTATTTTCGTTATTACTATTATCATTGTTATCATTATTATTATTATCATTGTCCTTGCTATTATTATTATCATTGTCCTTGCTATTATCATTATCATTATTGCTTTTATCATTTACAATTATAAATTTTACTATTACTATTATCATTATCATTGTTTTCAGCACTATTATCATTGTAATCATTATCATCACCATTATTCTTATATCACTTCTACCACTAAAGACAATAATAAGAAGAATATTATCATTATCATTATCAACATCATTACTTTCATTAGCATTACCACTGCTATTACTCTCAATATTATTCATTTTATCTCCTTTCGAGTAATGATGATAATAACTGATTTTTTTTTTTTTTCATTTTTTTACGACGCTTAGCTGTTGAGGCGGCAGATGAATTTAAATTATGAATTTGCAATTAAATTTCAATAATATCGTTTGACCTCCTATGACCCAGGTGGTGGAGGGGTTACTATCTCATCCGGTGGACGATGTGGAAAAATGTGGAGCCGTGGTGGAGGTTTAGACCATCCACTTGAGGGTAGATAGTGGAATGGTAGTGAATTGGTGACGAAACTTTTTTTTGTTTTTTTTTTTGTTTGTTTGTTTTTTGTTTTTTGTTACGAGAAAGGGATTGTAACTATCCTTTCGAATTTTAAGAAAGAGGTGTAGGGGGGGCGGGGGAGTTAATTCTGATTTTTTCGTTTCTAAAATATACTTATCAGGTTATTTAAATTGATAGCCTTGTAACCTGATGAATCGTTCAAAATTTACTTTGAAAAGCCTTATATAGAGATTATGAAAAAGATACTCATAAAATAATGGTAATCAATTTAAATAATGAAAATCGTCAAAAGGTCATGAATCATCACAGAAATTCATAAATAATTAAAAACCGAAATAAATTATATATATATATATATATATATATATATATATATATATATATATATATATATATATATATATATATGATTACCTAAATATACCTAAAAGATACCAAAAGTTCATTTTAAAAAGTGTAAATAATTTTAAAATACTTAAAATTCATCATAAAAGCAAAGCAATGACAAAAACCGTTTTTAATCATTAACATATCATAAGATCAACAAAAAATTATAATGATTAATAATAATAATAATAATAATAATAATAATAATAATAATAATAATAACAATAATAATAATAACAATAATAATAATAATAATAATGATAATAATAATGATAATGATAGTAATAATAACAATAACAACAACAAAACCAAAAATAATCATGAAAACAAACAAAAAACATTAATATTGATAATAATAATACTAATAATAACAATAATAATAACAATAATAATAATAATAATAATAATAATAATAATAATAATAATAATAATTACAGTAATAATAATAACAATGATAATAATAATAATATTAATAATAATAATAGTAATAACAATAATAATAACAACAACAAATTAAATAATAAAAACAAACAAACAAAAAAACAATATAAATAATAATAAAAACAAAATACAATCATTCTTTTAACTATAATAATCTAAAAAAAAAACACACACACACACAAAATAACAATACAAAAAAAACAAACTAACAAACATACCTGGAAATCATTCAGGTTCATCCCGCTCTTGAACATAAGCGTCCCGGGCATCCCAGCCTCCCACTCGCCCAGGGATTTGCGCTCCGCCGTCCTCCCTCGTAAGATCATGAACTTGTCTATGGTGAGGGTGATGTCCAGGTAGCTCATGCCGTTCATGCCCCAGGTGATGGTCGTCCAGCTGTCGGCGGGGACCTGTGGGTGGTGGTGGGGGGGGGGGGGGGTTGTAGGGGAGGGAGGAGGGGGAAGGGGAGGGGGAGGGGGATAGGGGAAGGGGATAGGAGAAGAGGGGGGATAAGGGGGTTGTAGGGGAGGGGGGGAGGGGGAGGGGGAGAATCGGGGAAGGGGATAGGGGTAGGGGGAGAATTAGGGGAGGGAGGAGGGGAGGGATAAGAAAGAGGGAAGGGAATGGGGGGGGTTGTAGGGGAGGAGGGGAGGGATAAGAAAGAGGGAGGTTGTAGGGGAGGGGGAGGGGGAGGTGGAGAGGGGGGTAATGGGGGAGGAGAGAGGGGGGGGGAATGGGGGAGAATTGGGGAGGGAGGAGGAGGGGAGGGATAAGAAAGAAGGAAGGGAATGGGTTAATTTGGGTTCATCTTTATTGTAATGATCACAGTCCTACTAAAGTACATATAATTAATTACATGCATGTATGCATATATAGACAGACATGAACGAGCATCCCCGGCCTTCTCCCAGTCCCTCCCACCTTCGGCCCAACCCACTCACCGTCTTGAGGGCGCTGCGGAGGTCGAAGCCCGCGCGCACCGGCGGGTTCCCTTCCTCGAACTCGGAGCATTTCAGGAAGTTGAAGTCGGCGTATTTCCCCTGTTCGGCCAGACGGCTGAGGGGGGGAGGGAGAGAGGGGGAAATTAGCATGCTTTTGATAGGGGGGGTTGCTTTTTCGTTTGTTTGTTTGTTTTTCTGGTTGTCTCTTTCTGCTTGTCTTTCTCTCTCTCTCTCTCTCTCTCTCTCTCTCTCTCTCTCTCTCTCTCTCTCTCTCTCTCTCTCTCTCTCTCTCTCTCTCTCTCTATCATCCTCTCTCTCTCTCATTCCCCTCTTCCTCCTTCACTTCTCCTCTTACTCATCTTCACTCACCTCACCTCTGCCTCCCCTCACTCCTCTCTCTCCTTTCACACCTCTCTCTCCCCTCACACCTCTCCCTGCCTTTCCTCCCTCCCTTACTTCACCTTTCCCTCCCCTCCTTCTCCCTACTCCCTTCCTTTCCCCCCCTCCCCATCCCCTCCTTTCCTCTCTCCCTACCTCCCTCCCCTCACTCACTTCACCTTTCCCTCCCCTCCTTCCCCCTACTCCCTTCCTTCCCCTCCCCTCCCCCATCCCCTCCTTCCCCCTCTCCCCCCCCCCACTCACCTCGCCGCCTTGATCCCCCTCACAGCGAAGTCGAAGTAGAAAGCGGAGTCGATCTGCGGGACAGTCATCAGCTGGTAGTTCTTCTCGAGCATCTGCAGCCTCCCTCTCATCTCCGAAGTGCTGTGGGGCCGGAGGAATACCACGGAGGCGTTCTCGCACCCACATTCTAGGTCCTCGCGTTGCTGTGGGGGGAGTGAGAGAGTGTGTGAGGGGGGAGGGGAAGGGTGGGTGTGTTTGTGGGAGGGTTGGGAGTGTGGGGGGTTGGGGGTTGGGGGAAAAGGGAAGGGGGGTCTTTTTTTTTGTAATGTATCATGAGTCTTTCGTTTCCTCATTAATGAGAATGGAGGAGGGACGTATCATATAAATCACAACCGATTCATCTATTTGTACAATTAATTAACATATATATCAACTCCCCCCTCCCCCCCCACTCCACCTCGCCGCCTTGATCCCCCTCACAGCGAAGTCGAAGTAGAAAGCGGAGTCGATCTGCGGGACAGTCATCAGCTGGTAGTTCTTCTCGAGCATCTGCAGCCTCCCTCTCATCTCCGAAGTGCTGTGGGGCCGGAGGAATACCACGGAGGCGTTCTCGCACCCACATTCTAGGTCTTCGCGTTGCTGTGGGGAGAGTGAGAGAGTGTGTGAGAGGAGGGAGGGGGGGAAGGGTGGGTGTGTTTGTGGGAGGGTTGGAGTGTGGGGGGTTGGGGGTTGGGGGAAAAGGGAGGGAGATGGTGAATGGTGGATGGTGGATGGTGAAGATGATGGTGAAGGGGAGGGAGATGGTGATTGGTGGATAGTGAAGATGATGGTGAGGAGGAAGATGGTAAATGGTGACAGGTGGATGGTGAAAGGGAGGGAGATGGTGACAGGTGGATGGTGAAGGGGAAGAAGATGGTGAATGGTAATTGGTGGATGGTGAAGATGATGGTGAGGAGTAAGAAGATGGTGAATGGGGCGACTGGTGATGGGGAAAGGGAGGGAGATGGTGAATGGTGATTGATGGATGGTGAAGGGGAGGGAGATGGTGATTGATGGATGGTGAAGATGATGGTGAGGTGGACGAGGACTAGGATGATGATGAGGAGGAGACTTGAAATGGATGGTGAGGTTGAAAATGGTGATGATAATAAGGAAATGGTGAATGGTGATCAATAAGGTAGATGATGAAGAAAAAAATGATTAGCGATTTGGCGAAGTGGATGGTGAAGATGAGGAGGAGGAGGATGGTGATGAAGAAGGGGTTAATGGTGACTGATAATGGTGAAGATAATGGTTTTGGTGATGATTTAAGGCGATGGTGATAGTGGTTAGGAGACAACGATGATGATAATCATAATGATAATGAAGGCGCTTGGAGATGATGTTAGCAACAACAGCGCATGTGGTAAATAACAGCACTGATTTCTTTCAATAACAAGAACAAAAAAATATTTCTCACCTTCAGCCTCCTCGTCTGATTCCTAAGTCCTGCCTCCGTTTTCTCCACCATCGTCATGATATGTCGACAGGGGAGGTTCTGAAGCAGCGACTTGTACTTGTGTTCCATTACTGCCGAAGAACATGTTGGAGACGTGTTTTTTAGGAGAGAAGGGAAATGTAATCGATTTTGGGGGATATTTCATGTTTGTTCTTTTTTTTTTTTTTTATATCATATTTGTTCATTTTTTTCTTTTTTTATTTCATATTTGTTCATTTTTTTCTTTTTTTTATTTCATATTTGTTCTTTTTTTTTCTTTTTTTATTTCATATTTGTTCATTTTTTTATTTCACATTTGTTTTTATTTCATATTTGTCCCCCTTCCCTCACCCCCCCTTCCTCCCCTTTCCTTCTCCCTTCCACCCTCCCCTCCTCCTTCCCTCCTCCTTCCATCCTCTACCCTCCCTCCTCCACCCTTCCCTCCCTTCCTCCTTCCCCCTCCTCTCCTCCCCCTCACTCACCGAACGTCTCATCATATATAATGCCAGCGTTCGAGATGTTCTGAGTGCGCACGATGTCTCTGATGGCCTGGACGATGATGTCACCGGGAGGCATCAGCTGGACGAGGTAGTTCTCTTCGTCTGATGTCAGGTCGCGCCATTCTCTGTAGGAGGAGGAGGTGGAGGAGGAGGAGGGGGAGGTGGAGGAGGAGGTGGTGGAAGAGAGGTAGGAGGTGGTGGTGGAGGTGGTGGTGGAGGTGGTGGTGGTGGTGGAGGAGGAAGAGAGGGTGGAGGGGGAGGAGGAGGTGGACGTGGAGGAAGAGGAGGGGGAGGAGGAGGAGGAGGAGGGGGAGGAGGGGGAGGGGGAGGAGGAGGAATCGAGGGAAAAGGATTAGCGTGATGGTGTAAGTATCGTTATGCTCATTTTTCATTATCATTATTATTAGTAGTAGTAGTATCACTGATGTTATTTCTATTACCATTACCACTATTGTTATTCTCAGCAGCTAACACTAAGAATATTAACAGCAACAAATACACAGCAAAAGCATACCTCAGATCCCCATCCTGTCCGTACGAAGCCGAAAACGTAGGCAAAGCGAGAGCTCTAGTGAAAGACTTCACGGTTTCGGACATAATCCCCGCTGTGGTCGCGTCTAAGACAATGTGCGGGGGTTCGGACGCGTCTATGGCTGCGTCCACTAAATCACAGGTTGCGTTCACTGTCACCTCGATGTCGTCTCCTATTGGAAATTTAGGTGTATGATAGTTTAATATATTTGTTTATTGGGTGTTTTAATTGTTTATCGATTAATCTGTGTTTCATATTTGTGTTTGGTTAGTATTTGAAGGTAATTTGTTTTTTATGTTGATTTCTGGGTGCGTTCATTTTGATCTCGATGTCGTTTTCTGTTGGAAATTTATGGATTTTTAACATTAATTTCTTAGTTTATCTTTTACTTCGTTGTTTTGCTTTGGGGTTTCTCCTTTCTTTCGTGTGTGATGCATGTTCTAGATAATGATTATTTTGCGGCTTATCAACCCCAAACAAACCACATGCATACATTTGAAAACTAGGAAATAAAAGGAAACAAACGACAGCCCCCGTTTTTCATATTTGTCTTGAAGCCACGCCCCTTTTTTCATAACTAAGAAACATTTTTTTTAATAAACAATGTCGCTATTTATCTATTCCCATAATCGGACTTGCTCATCTCTATAACAATATTGAAAACTGAAAACATACATAGTTTATTACCGTAAAACATTATATCTTTAAATGAAAAGTTAAATATATCAAGGTATCATTTATCAATCGAAAACCGACACAATACCGATTTTCTTTTTTTCTTTTCTTTTTTTCCTTCGTATTTGTTTTTTTCTGCTAGCAATTATGACCTAAATAAAAACAAATAACCCCACACACAAAAAACGAAAGACACTAAACTACACTTTGCAAGAGGTATATCTATCTCCTAATAATACATAATTAGGAAGACTATAAACATATCTTGTGCAGCGGAGGAGGGTAGTGTCGTTAATTATCTCATTATCACTAGCTAACAAATGTCATAAATTGCATGCACTGTCATATGAAGTTTAGAAAGAGAGTATAGACAGAAGTAGCATAAAAGTCTAGAGATGACCTTATGCAACAAACAAATAAGGAATAGATATATATTTTTTTAATCATTATCTCAAGGTAAGAATGAGCATAAGAACAAATATTGTAAATAAAAAATAAGAATGAAAATAATACTAATAACTATATTGGTGATGACGATGATACTAATCATAATAATATGGATAATAATAACAATAATAATAATAATAATGATAAAATAATAATAATAATGATAACAACAATAATGATAATAAGAATAGAGATAATGATTATAATGCCAATAATGATAATAAGTATTGTTAGTATTGTTAGTATTGTTATTATTATCATTACCATCATTAACCCATTGCCGCCGGGGATGGCATGTACGTACATAACATGCCCACTGTGAGTCGACTTGTTTGATTGTTTATACACATAGATGGCTACACTTGTACTAAGTATCCAATGAGCCAATTACAGTACTGCCTGTCTCGCCCGTTCTCCCTTTTCATCGATTTACGAAAATATTTAACGTTATCCTAATTTGCTGTAAAAAATAACACCATCTATATTTATAGTACTAGTGAGAATACGTTTTTTCCCGCCTATTCAAGGAAAGGTGAAATCAGGACTAGCAGAGCCATCTATGGACAGAGATATTTCACAAAAATATAAAAAATGAGTACTGCATTTCCCCCATTTTTTGTTCTTTTTCCCCGGCGGCAATGGGTTAATATTATTATCATTATCATCTTATTATCATTGTTATCATCATTACCGTTATTAATGTCATTAATATGACTATTATTATAGTAATAATAATAATGATAATAATAATAATTATTATTATTATTACTATTATTATTATTATTATTATTGTTGTTGTTGTTGTTGTTATTATCATTATTATAACAATTATCAAAACCAAGATTTACAGATATCTGTAATTTTGCCACATCGTCTAATGATGACGTCACAGTAACAGTAATCTGATAAAAACTACTGGTAATAACACCAATATCTTATATTACCTATAACAAATACAAATACACGCAGATTTTCAGCAATGGGCTTCCTAACAAATAAATGAATAAGCAAATACAACCACCAACGTACAAACAAATAATCCCAAGAAACATTTTTTCCCGCGCTCTCTTGTCGGAAAATGACGTCACAGGCCCCTCCCACCCTTCCTCCACCTCCCCCCTTCCTCCACCTCCCCCCTCCCTCCTACCACGCCAGTTTGTATTGATCTTCTCTAAAAGGCTTTGCAACAGGTTCTTCATGCAATATACAACGAGCAGCAGGTCGCTGTTGCAGTGTTGCAGGCACAATATCACTTAAGGTTTATTGCTAGAGATTATTCATAGATATGTATGTAGTTGGAACCTGTTAATTTATTTATATATTGTGGAGGGTTCTGAGTTCGTAAACGTGCGTGAAGAAAGATCGAAAAAGTGATTAAATTTTTTCTTCAAAATTTTAATGCGTTTTAACTTTTTTTGTAATCTCTTCTTATTTATTCTTATTTTTCTTCTATTAGCTTCATTCCAACAGCAATCATCCTAATAGTGATAGTAATAAATCGTAATGGCAAATGGCGATCATAATACCATTATATGTAATGTGATCAGTGACATAAATGCATTTTTGTAGAGAAACAATACGAAAAGAGTTGAAATATGAACGAAAACACATGGCATTTTATCGTCATTCTTTTATAAACGAAAAGTGCGTTTTTGATTTTTTTTTTAATCACATTAGTTCGTGCACTGTTTTTTTTCATGTTCTTTTTTGCTTCTTTTTTTTTTGAGTTTCTGTTATTTGCTATGTCTTTTGCTTCAATTTAACATGTTTGATATTAGCTTATCTATGAAAAAGTGAGAGAAAGAGAGAGAGAGAAAGAGAGAGAGAGAGAGAGAGAAGGGGGGGGGGGAGAGAAAGAGAGAGAGAGAGAGAGAGAGAGAGAATGAGAGTACATATTCCTCGTATCCGGTTGTAGGAGAAAAAAAAAATACATAAAATACCCTAGCAAAAGAATGAATATTTAGAAATATATCCCCCCTCCCTCAACCCCCAACCCCCCAAAAAATATATATAGAAAGGTAAAATATCCATTACAACAGGTAATGGGGAGAAATAATGAACAGGGGTATGAATAATTGAAACCCAGCACAGGGAAGGGGGGGGGAGGGGGGCCACGACAGGGTATATAGGGTCGTGGGTGAGAGGGATAGAGGAAGGAAGGGGGGGGGTGATAATAAAGTTCCCAGCCAAGATTATTGATTAACAAAGATAAGAAAAAAAACTCGACATGGGTTTCGTGTATCGTTCATGTGTTCTCTAAGTGTTATCTGATGATACCCTGTAGCGTTTTCTAATTTTATCTTAAAGTGTTCTCTACTGATATCCTATAATGTCCCCTAATAATATCCTAAATTGTTTTCTTATGATATCCTATAATGTTCTCTAATGAGATACTATAGCATTTTCTAATATCTTATAATGCTTTCTAATGATATCCTATAATGTTCTCTAATGAGATACTATAGAGTTCTCTAATGATATCTTATAATGTTTTCTACTGATATCACAAAGTGTTCTTTAATGAAATTCTATAACGTTTTCTAAAGACATCACAAAGTGTTTTCTAATGAGATCCTATAGCGTTCTCTAATGAGGTCATATAGTGTCCGCTAATGAGATCCTATTCTTGTATACTTGCATATATAGATAGATATACAGATATAGAAAGACAGCTAGACTCATTGATTGATAGACAGAGAGACAGGTAGATAGGTGTAGATATAGATATAGACAGATAGTCAGATAGATAGATAGACTCAATACAGACGTAGATATAGACAAATATACAGAAATGTAT